GCACCAAGAACAGACCTGACTCATCCCATCGATTTCTCCTCTGAATGGAAACAGCCCTGCAAGGCCCTGAACATTGGCCAACTGTTTGGGCTGATGGGGAAACAATATTAATGACACCTGCCTCCTAGTGCCTTGCTGGGGTGAGCGCTTTGAAGAGATGAAGCACTATGCAAGGATGGCGTGTTATTGTCACTCCCAGGCCATCTCGGTCTGTAAGCCAGGGCCAGCACATGGCACATACCTGCTTGTTCTCGCCCTCAGCCCCTTTCCTTAATCCTCAGCTCCTACCACTTTTGTACTGTTGTTAATATTATTTACTGCGGGGCCTGGCAGAGTGTGGGTGCTTTACGTACACAGACTGGACAATGTTCCTCTCTGAAGAGCTCACAGTCTGACTATAGCTGTTACACAATCTGAGGGTGACTAGCAATAGGAGGGGCAGACTGAGCAGATAGGAGGGTGACATGAGTGAAATTGGGCAGTGGTGCCCTTCTGGTGACTGCACTTCCCAAGCTCCTTCCAGCCTGGTTGCTGTAGCTTTCCATGTGTAACACAATATATTGTCAAGGGTGAATGAAATGGGAGTTCCAGGAGTACATCCCAGTGAGGATTAACCATACTAATGAGCAATTAACAATGATTGTATTTATTAAGTCTCTGGCATTCATTTATAAAGCACTTGGCATTCAAATGTAGCAAACCACAGTTATACCACCTGAGAAGAGACCACATAGAACCTTGTGATTGAGGGAGGGCAGGGCCAGCCACTAGGGACAAAGCAGCCTGCCTCTGACGAGGAGTGGGAAGGCAGGGCTGAAATGGATGCTGCAGGGAAAGAAAGTTCCACAATCTCAGATTGTCACAGCAAATGCTCTGTCAGCCACTGATCTAAGCAGCACTGTTAGAAGCTCCAAGAGACAGGCACTGCCTGAGAGCGGATCGCTCAGAGGCTGAAGCTCAAAAGCCTATGTGGGGAATAGGTTCCCTATTGTACACTGGTGATTGCACAGAATTTCCACCTTGAACATACACATTTGCAAGGAGTCCTGCCTCGTGCTGGGGAGATAACAGGAATGTGTGATGTCAGGCCTCTTACAACCCACATTAGGATAAAGAGAGAGCTGTGGGTCCAGTTAGAAAGGGCTCACTTAGCTAACCAAAGAATGCCATCAAACTGCATGCATTATTCTCCTTGGCCCCAATTCAGCAATGCACTTAAGCATATGCATCAGTCCCAGTCAAGTCCATGGGAGTTAAACAAGTGCTCCACTGACTCGGGGCCTTAGCAAACACACAGTTGCTCTAGCTGCAGCTCAGTGCTCCTTTCCCCCTATCCACACCACCTGTTGGGGCATGTCTGGGTTTAGACTGCAAGCTCTTTGAGGCAGAGGCATGACTGCTATCTGCTCTACACAGCACACAGTACCGCACAAATAATGAACAGTGACAGCACTGCAGAAGGCCTACAACTGTGGGGGCTGTGGGACCCCTCCGGAACTACTGGCCCCATGGCTGTATTCATCGAGAGCTTTGGTGCTGGATCAGTTCCAGCAGGAAACATGTTCAGGTTTTGAAAATGAAATGTTTGCACCGTGAAATGTTTGCTGTTCAGTCTCTGGGTTTTTGGGGGGAGGGTTTTAAATTTTGTCAAAGATGAAATATTTCTGGTTTTGACAAAAAGCCACTTTTCACTTATGTTACCTTTGGTTGGAAAAAAAAAAAAAAAGGTTGATCAGATCTACCTTGAGGTTGCACACCCAGCAGATTCAGTGGTGACAGCCTGATAGTCACCCTGGTGCTGTGGAGGCCTGGCTGTACCCCCCACCCCCACACACACTTCGACTTCTCAAAATCCACCGGCCGTGGAGCATTTGAAGCCATGCTCAGTCATAGCTGTCCAGCCAAGTGCTTCCAACCAAGGAATGTCTCTTTGGCCGGTGGCCATTAATCAACATTTCATCAACGTGTCCAGGCAAAGATGGTTCTGGACTTAGCGTCTAATAATAAGAACTTCTGCTGATCTCCCCAGCACTCACCCATCCCCAGATAACACTGCAGCATTCCAGGAGGCCAGGCCGATGGGCAGAGGTTGCCAGGCAGGGCCAGGAATGTCCAGTGTCTTCAGGAGGGATCAGGAACAGCCTGACAAGGGCCGGAGGAGGATGAAATGCCCCCCCCCACCCCCGGTGATGCACTCAGCTGGGCACATAGCACCCCACAAAAGGCTAAATTCAGTTGCTAAGGAATCCTCAGTGGTTCTCTAGGAACCAGGCACTAGCTTGATGGTGAGGCACGTTGCTAGGCAACCTCCCAGATGACGGCCATGCCTGCAGTCAGAACAGTGGATGATGGGAAGAGGAGACAAGGCTGAAGTGTCCGCACTGATTCTGCTATCGCTAAGCAGTTTTCCATACCAGTGACCAGCAGGCAGCACCTTGCAGGAGCAGCTGCAGTGGCTTTGCGGTGGCTGAGACCTTTCCTCTCCAGGAGCCCAGGGAGAAGCGCTGGCAACTGCTTGTTCTGCCTGAGAGCTCCACTCCCAGCAACCCCCATGCCTGCAAGCCCAGCTGCATCTTTGTGTAAGGGGACTGTTGCCCCCTTACTAACATTCAGTGGCGGTGTTTTGGTTGACTAGCTCCCAGTACTAAAAGGGGAAGGGTCTATGGGAAATCAGGACCCTGAGACTGATAGTCCCCAGGAGCAATGGGGAGAGGCCAATGCTCCAAGTCAGCCTGAATAACAGGGCGGGCAGGCTAATCAGGGAGTCAGGAAGCCAGGGAGGCGCCGTCCTCCCAGTGAGCTGGAATTGCCTGGGTCAGACAGAGTGGGGCCGAGCTAAGGAGAAAGGAGGGGCCCAAGCTAATCTGGGGAGCAGAGCTGTGCCAGATCCAGAGGGACCAGAAAAGCAGCCCAGAGAGAGCAGACCCTGTCCTGGGAGCAGAGCTGCAGCCCCAAAGCCAGAGGCACAGCCCAGAGAGAGCAGACTTGCCCTGGGAGCAGAGCTGCAGCCCCAAAGCCAGAGGGGCCAGAAAAGCAGCCCATGAAGCAGGTCAGTGCTGGGAGCAGATCACAGAAGCAGCCTGCAGAGCAGACCTGTCCTGGGAGCAGAGCTGCAGCAGCCAGAGGCAGAGGGGCCAAAGAAGCTGCCCAGGGAGCTGGAGGCAGAGGAGCAGCAGCAGCAGCAGTGCTGAGACAGAGTGGTGGAGCTGGGGCTGGAGCAGTCCGGAGCTGGGTGCGGTGAGCAGCTGGGGAGAGCGAGGGGGACCCTGGGCAGCGGGGCCAGCAAAGGGAGATGCCTCAGCCAAGAGGCTCTGCAGGCCAGGCTTGGATCCTAACCCCGAGAGGGCGGGGGCGACACTGGGAAGAAGGGTCCTACCACTTACAGTCTGAGAGCGTGTGGCCACGACTAGAGCAAGTGTCCAAGCCACAGCGTCCCTGCAGCACAGCCAGGGCCTGAGAAGAAGGCCTGGGACTTACAAGGAACAAACTGTGAACTGCCCTGATGTTCCAGAGACACTGCTTGTGATGTTCCCTGCCACAGAGCGGGGTGATGTGTTTCCTTTAACCTTTCCCATTTTTCCTTATTCTTTTTGAAATTAATTGTTGATTAAATAACTTGCATTTGCTTTAAATTGTATATAATGGTCAGTGGGTCAGAGAAGTGCCCAGTGCAGAGAGAGTACACCGGAGAAGGGACAATCCTAGCCCCGTCCTAGGTGACCACAGCAGGGTTGGGGGTCGAGCCCCCCAGGAATCCTGGGCCCAGCCTTGTTGGGGTTACAAGGACTCTGCCAGACAGGAGAGTGGAAGGGGAGTCCTCAAGGGCAAGGAGGCTACTGGGTAAAGGAAGTGGGAGTGAGGGCTCGGATCCTTTCGCTAGCCTACTTCACCGCAGTAGTGCAGAAGCCAGGGAAGTTCCCCACAGTAGTGGAACTATTCCCCTGCTTACATTTGCTACCTTTGACTCAAACCTCCCTGCTCCAGTCCCCATGGCTCACCGGCTCTCACTGCCCTCCCTGCTCCATTACCCTCCCAGCAAACCAGGATGGGACCTCCAGCCCTTCCCTCCCCACCTTTTACTTTTGTTTGTTGAGATCTTTATTTGCGGGAGGCAGTCAGGGGTGACAGTGCAGTGAATGCCATAATTGCCAATGTGAAAGGATTTGGCTAAGGGCCCATCTACACATCTATCGTGGTGCATGTTTTGTGTGTCTGCGTTAAGTGAGCCACAACAGCTGTTGCACGACTGGTTCAAGCACACCGCCTTGTTACCACAGTCAATTTACTGTTGCCTCACAGCTTTGTGACCACACAGCACAATACTGTTTTGCATGGATCCTCAGCATTGTGATCAGACACCCCACCGTGTATTTCTCTGTTGCTGTTCCATATGCATTCTGGGATGTTTCATGCTGTGCACTTATGGGAAGGCAATTGAATCATAGGACTTGGGGGCAGGGGCACAAACTGAATAATTCCCATGATTCCTCTTGTTTCATCTCATCACCTGTCTTGTTTCTGTGATCCAGAGCCATTTTACAGGCACTGTCAGGTAGCATGGATGATCACTGCTGATCTCCAGTTGTGAACACAGAGACTATTGGTAGAGTAGCTGAAGTCACACCATGGCTATCCAACCAAGGTGATAAGGGCACCCGAAAAGGAGGAGACTGAAACCAACCAGACTCTTCTCCTACATCTTCTCCTGCAGCAGATTCACTCATCAGCATGGTGCTTTGGGGCTTGGCCAGCTACTACTGACTGGTGGGGCAGGACAGGGCTGCAGACTTGGGACGACCAGAACTGGGGGCAGAAATTCAGGATGTCAAAAGACACTTTCTTAGAACTCTCTGCAGAGCTGGTCTAAGAGCTGCACTGGTGGAGCACCCACATGAGAGCTCTCCTCCGCATGGAGAAGCACGTGGCCAGGTAATGATGCTGGCTTTGGTGGCACCCAACTGAGAGTGCCAATTCGGGACAAAAAGAAAAGGAGTACTTGTGGCACCTTAGAGACTAACAAATTTATTTGAGCATAAGCTTTCATGAGCTACAGCTCACTTCATCAGATGCATTCAGTGGAAAATACAGTGGGGAGATTTATGTACACAGAGAACATGAAACAATGGGTGTTACCCTACACACTGTAACGAGAGTGATCAGGTAAGGTGAGCTATTACCAGCGTGGGGTGGGGGAGGGAACCTTTTATAGTGATAATCAAGGTGGGCCATTTCCAGCAGTTGACAAAGTCTGAGGAAGGGGGAGGGGGAATAAACATGGGGAAATAGTTTTACTTTGTGTAATAACCCATCCACTCCCAGTCTTTATTCAAGCCTAAGTTAATTGTATCCAGTTTGCAAATTAATTCCAATTCAGCAGTCTCTCATTGGAGACTGTTTTTGAAGTTTTTTTGTTGAAGAATTGCAACTTTTAGGTCTGTAATTGAGTGACGAAAGAGATTGAAGTGTTCTCCGACTGGTTTTTGAATGTTATAATTCTTGATGTCTGATTTGTGTCAATTTATTCTTTTATGTAGAGACTGTCCAGTTTGCCCAATGTACATGGCAGAGGGGCATTGCTGGCACATGATGGCATATATCACATTGGTGGATGTGCAGGTGAACGAGCCTCTAATAGTGTGGCTGATGTGATTAGGCCCTATGATGGTGTCCCCTGAATAGATATATGGACACAGTTGGCAACGGGCTTTGTTGCAAAGATAGGTTCCTGGGTTAGTGTTTTTGTTGTGTGGTGTGTGGTTGCTGGTGAGTATTTGCTTCAGGTTGGGGGGCTGTCTGTAAGCAAGGACTGGCCTGTCTCCCAAGATCTGTGAGAGTGATGGGTCATCCTTCAGGATAGGTTGTAGATCCTTGATGATGCGTTGGAGAGGTTTTAGTTGGGGGCTGAAGGTGATGGCTAGTGGCGTTCTGTTATTTTTTTTTGGTTAGGCCTGTCCTGTAATAGGTAACTTCTGGGTACTCTTCTGGCTCTGTCAGTCTGTTTCTTCACTTCAGCAGGTGGGTATTGTAGTTGTAAGAATGCTTGATAGAGATCTTGTAGGTGTTTGTCTCTGTCTGAGGGGTTGGAGCAAATGCGGTTGTATCGTAGAGGTTGGCTGTAGACAATGGATCGTGTGGTGTGGTCTGGATGAAAGCTGGAGGCATGCAGGTAAGTATAGCGGTCAGTAGGTTTCCGGTATAGGGTGGAGTTTATGTGACCATCGCTTATTAGCACCGTAGTGTCGAGGAAGTGGATCTCTTGTGTGGACTGGTCCAGGCTGAGGTTGATGGTGGGATGGAAATTGTTGAAGTCGTGGTGGAATTCCTCAAGGGCTTCTTTTCCATGGGTCCAGATGATGAAGATGTCATCAATGTAGCGCAAGTAGAGTAGGGGCATTAGGGGACGAGAGCTGAGGAAGTGTTGTTCTAAGTCAGCCATAAAAATGTTGGCATACTGTGTGGCCATGCGGGTACCCATAGCAGTGCCGCTGATTTGAAGGTATACATTGTCCCCAAATGTGAAATAGTTATGGGTGAGGACAAAGTCACAAAGTTCAGCCACCAGGTTTGCTGTGACATTATCGGGGATACTGTTCCTGACAGCCTGTAGTCCATCTTTGTGTGGAATGTTGGTGTAGAGGGCTTCTACATCCATAGTGGCTAGGATGGTGTTTTCAGGAAGATCACCGATGGATTGTAGTTTCCTCAGGAAGTCAGTGGTGTCTCAAAGATAGCTGGGAGTGCTGGTAGCGTAGGGCCTGAGGAGGGAGTCTACATAGCCAGACAATCCTGCTGTCAGGATGCCAATGCCTGAGATGATGGGGTGTCCAGGATTTCCAGGTTTATGGATCTTGGGTAGCAGATAGAATACCTCTGGTCAGGGTTCTAGGGGTATGTCTGTGTGGATTTGTTCTTGTGCTTTTTCCAGGGAGTTTCTTGAGCAGATGGTGTCATTTCTTTTGGTAACCCTCAGTGGGATCAGAGGGTAATGGCTTGTAGAAAGTGGTGTTGGAGAGCTGCCTAGCAGCCTCTTGTTCATATTCCGACCTATTCATGATGACGACAGCACCTCCTTTGTCAGCCTTTTTGATTATGATGTCAGAGTTGTTTCTGAGGCTGTGGATGGCATTGTGTTCTGCACGGCTGAGGTTATGGGGCAAGTGATGCTGCTTTTCCACAATTTCAGCCCGTGCACGTTGGCGGAAGCACTCTATGTAGAAGTCCAGTCTGTTGTTTCGACCTTCAGGAGGAGTCCACCCAGAATCCTTCTTTTTGTAGTCTTGGTAGGAAGGTCTCTGTGGGTTAGTATGTTGTTCAGAGGTGTGTTGGAAATATTCCTTGAGTCAGAGACGTCAAAAATAGGATTCTAGGTCACCGCAGAACTATATCATGTTTGTGGGGGTGGAGGGGCAGAAGGAGAGGCCCCGAGATAGGACAGAGTATTCTGCTGGGCTAAGAGTATATAGTTGGATAGATTGCTTAAAGCCGGGCAGTTACAGCCCAAGGCTGGGGTTTCTATGCACACCAAGGCAAACCAAACCAGCCAAACAGAGAAGACTTCGGTTTTACCCCACTGGCTAACCATAAGTCACACAAGCAATTCCCTTAGACACTCCAGTTTCCCAGTATCACCACCAGTGCCACTCGTTATGCGGACAAATGGTGATGAAAACCAATACCCCAGTAAAAGAAAAATGGTTCTCTCGATCCCAAAGGATGAAACCCCAGACCCAGGTCAATATACAGATCAGATCTTACCCACAAATCGCGCTATCGCCAATCCTTTAGAATATAAAATCTATAGGTTTATTCATAAAAGGAAAAAGATACAGGTGAGAGCTAGAATTGGTTAAATGGAATCAATTACATACAGTCATGGCAAAGTTCTTGGTTCAGGCTTGTAGCAGCGATAGAATAAACTTCAGGTTCAAGTCAAGTCTCTGGAGAACATCCACATCTGAGATGCGTCATCAGTCCTTTGTGTAGAGCTTCCGTTTGTAGCAAAGTCCCTCTAGAGGTATGAAGCAGGATTGAAGACAAGATGGAGGAGCTGCAGCAGCTTTTTATATTCTCTTGCCATGTGGTCTTTCTTTCTTTGTTTCAAAGACAAGCTGTCCATTACATGGCATGGAAAAACCTGTTCTGTCCCATAGGCATGTCCCTGCATGCCTTGCTGAGTCACAAGGTGTATCTGCCTTCTCCCAATGGGTCAGTTGTATAGCTGATGGTCCTTAATGGGCCATCAGGCAGGCTGGGCAGAGCTGACACCAACTTGTCTGGGGTGTCAACCAGAAGCATAGCACAAGTTTGAAATACAAACCGTATAGATCCAATACTTATATCTTTAAATACAAAAATGATACATGCAAACAGCATAATCATAACCAGCAAACCACAACCTTGTCTTAGACACCTTATTTGACCCCCTTTATACAAGATTTGGTGCCACTACAGACCTTGGTTGCAACAATGTTCTATATGGTCCCAGTTCAAGTCAATAAGGTCACAGAGCATCACAATTGGAAGCTCGCCCCCCTCCCCCATCCCCTGACTGCTGCCAGTTAGTTGCTGACTGGTTTAGAGTTGATCAACAGTTGGGCTGTTGTAACAGAGGTCTGTGCCACTATCAAGAAGGTGCTGTCTGTCCCCCTGGGACATAAAACTAGGCTCTGTGCAGGCAGCTATTAAGGGTCTTGCATGGTTGGGGTTCCCTAAATGCATAGGGGCCACTGATGGGACCTACATGTCTATTCTCCCCGCTCCCCCGCATCAAGCCTCAGAATTGAGCAACACCAAGGCCTTGCTCCATGATGCTGCAAGGCCTGATTGACCACTGTGGAAGACTCACCAGTATTAATGTGGGGTGGTCTGGAAAGGTCCATGATGCCAGGATCTTTAAATGTCTGCACTTTCCATGCAGTGACAAATGGTACCTTTGCACCCAGTATCTACATGGATATTAGTGGCATCGCCTTCCCTCCTGTCATTCTGCTCCCCTGGCTTAGGAAGCTTTTCACTAGACAACTGGAAAGGAGAAAGGAACTGTTCACTTGCACCCTGAGGAGTTGCAGAATGACTGGGTAATGTGCCTTTGGAAGACTGGGTCCTGACATCAAGGCTGGATAAAGACCACCGCACAGCCTTCGCGAGAGCAAGGGGGAGAGCCTGACATATGGATGGGTGCAGGAAGCAGGAATGCTTGGTGAGCATTTTGAACAGCCAGAGAGGAGGCCTTTATGGACTGATGCAGCCACTCAGGACATAGTGCGGGACGCATTGCGCTCCTACTTGGACTCTAGGGCTCACTTGCGAGAAAAGTTACGTCTTTGTTTAAAGCATTTATTAACATCAGTTCACATTACCTCTTTGTAATTACCACACTGCGGGTGTGGTTTGGAATGCGGTGTTTTTAGCACAGTGCTTGTTTTGATGCTGTTATTGTGCCTGGGTGGCTGTTATGACGTGGGTGCTTTGCAATAGAAAGGAGGGTCCAAGCCACAGACCCACAAATGCCACCACATTTTCAAATTACTTTTGTAAACAAAGCATCAGAATACACTGAATTGAACTTTGTTAGCATTTTAGAGTTGTATGAGCCGTCATACTGCAGTGCAAACTTAGCAGGCCATATGCTCCAGCAACGTGGTCTGCCTTTCCATAATCCATCTCCTTTTTTCTCCTCTTCCTTACACTGCTGATACAGTAAAATAAAGAACTTCTGTAAAAGTCAGTTTTCAATATATGTGTCTTAACTTCAAACAGTCTCCTTCCCCGGGAAGCCATGCGGTGCTGTTGTTCTTGGACGGGTGGGGGTTTGACCAGGTAGAGGGTGAAGAACAATTACACCCCAGTGTGGGTTGGGATAGGGCAGCGCACAGCAAAGCTATACGGCAATACTGTGTTTTCATTTTGCTATTTAAATGAAGGGAGAGTTTGTGCAGTCTCTGGTGCAGCCCTTGCACTGAGCACGGAGGTGAGGTTCCAAAGCCAATGAGCTAAAGAAAGTTAGACCAACATGGTGACATTTTTATGGCAGCTGGACACGTGTAAACACCTCTGATCCCTCCTGTTGTGGTGTATTTTGATAGATCTTACAGGAATTGATGCCATCCACAGTCTGGGTCGGGACCTCTGTGACTCTGGCTCAGGGTTAACTGGTCTCACGTGGTCGCCCACATCTGGGATGAGTCAGGATGTGTCCACAACAAACTCTGGTACAGATGCGGCCAAGCTTCACAGCAGACCGTGGTACCACTCTGGAGTCACTTTGTACTTCACATGTGTATGGCCCAGCCAGAGCTCCTGTTTAGCTGAGATTGCTGACCTGCCATGTGATCCAGCCATCAGGTGGTGGTTTCTCACACTGCCTTCTATGCATGCCAGCCTTAGTTGGTTGCTGGCCACCCAGGTGCTGGAGGGCCCTGATTAGCAAGGGGTACATGTCTTTCAGGCAGACTATGTCTACACCTATGATGAAGTCAGTCTCTCAGGAATGCCTCATGGGCCTCCAGAACCCCATGACACAGCACAGACTTGGGCCCGAGCCGAATGATCTGCAGGCATATTCCTGTGGAAGTTCTCCTGCATCTGCTTCGAGGCCAGGGGGAGCTCAATGGTCATTACATCTCCCCTGCGCAGGGTGGCAAGGATGCCCATGATGCCCACCAATCAGTTGAACTTCTGCTCCTCAAAATATTTATACAGGGTTAGAGCTGCCTCCCAGAGGGGTTCTGCCACCCCAAGTTGGGCCCTGTAGTGCTGGGCAATGGTTAACATATGGCTGCCAAAGGGGTAGCTGGTCTCCCCGGGGAAGGTGTCAGCGAAGAGCCCGACCTCCTGGAGGAACACAGCCTCCAGCCCCTCAAGGGTGGCATCAGCAGCAGCCCTCTGTGGCACCTGGGCAGCCCATCCCCCAAGCTCCTGGGCAGCCCATCCCCCAAGCTCCACAGGGTAGAAGGGAGGCTGCTTGAATGCAGCCATCTTACAAGGCACGCAACACAGCTGTCTCTAGCATCACAGACACCACACAGTGCTAATAACTGCTCTGCCTGTTGGGACCTTTCAAGGGAGAGCACTCCCTTGCCTTCGCACACACTGCATTGGAGCGAAGTGCATACTAGAGATGTCTGATTTCCCTGTAGCTTCACCAGCTGTTAGGTTCTCTTTTGATCTAAGTAACAGGATTTGTTTGAACCTTGTAGCCCTTATATCTGATGTTTTATTAGTGTTCTTCCTTCCACACCTGTTTCTGTTTGATTCATGGAAAACCATGAGAATACCGTGCTGGCCACTGTATGTTCCTGAAAGACAGACAAAGGCCTCGCCCACTGAAGGCTAAAAGCCGTAGCACTATTGGCTAGTAGACGTAGTAATTCTTATCCAGTTTGATTCAGCCACTAGTGAGAGGCAGCACATTTAACCAGTGTGATATATATCATTAAAGGTCCTCTGTTTTATTACAGAGCTGCAATAGGTACATGAAGGGAAATTCTAAGCTCATTTAAACAGTGTCAACAGAGAGTGACTCCAGCAAAGACAAGAGGTTTATATAAATGAGGCTGGAATTTGATGTTCCACATTTAAGATCCTATGTAGAAATGAGTGAATAAATTACTCAACAAGTTTTGCCTTATTAGTTGAGAATTGTCAGCCTACAGATCATACAATCCCATATGTATTCATTACTTGTTATTATTCACAAATCTCTTCAATAAATAATTCTTAGAGAGACACGGTGCATTAGGTAATATCTGTTAGTTAACCAACTTCTGTTGGGGGAAGAGAGAAGCTTTTGAGCTGCACAAAATTCTTGACTTCCTCTTTAAGAAATAGTTTGTTGCAAATATTCACAATTCAAGCTGCCTTGATTAGTCACATGGTATTGTTTCTGTTTCCTGATTGGATGAGTTGTATAAAAACAATACAGTACAAATCACAAATTTAACAAACAAATATACACTTTGAAATACACCAGCATGTATGTAGAATGTGACACATTTAAACTGGTAGCCAGTGATGTGAAACATTTCTGAAATTGTTGCAATAATCATATTAAATCTGTATCCTCATTAGATGGGACTGGGCAGGACATGGGACCAGAATTAAGGTTGTTTCTGGAAACTAAGTCTGAATTTCCCCCACCGTCAAAAGAAAAATCCTGCAATGTTCATATTATTATTTGTATCACCGTAGTGCCTAGGAGACTAGTCATGGCCCAAGGCCTAAATATGTCAGGCACTGTACAAATACAGAACAAAAAGACAGTCCCTGCCCCAGGGAGCTTTGTTTCTTTTTGTTTGCAATCTAGTTTTCAGTCCTTAGTTTTATCTTAATGATGTTAAGATGTTCCTGTCCAAAAAGAACTGACTCAAAGCTCTGCCCAGAACTGGAACCAACACTGCGTTTTTTGAAGTTCAAAACAGCTCAGTACCTTTCCCCTGCACCTAGTGAGGCTCTTGCCCATCCTGGTCACACTCCCACGTCCTAGTGCTGGCAACCCACGACAGGGCTGTTCTCTCTGTTTCCAGTTTGGCCAAGACCAGGAAATGCAGCAGGCTGCCAGTGGAGCCTCTCCTCCCATCAGTGATAGAACAGAAGGACTCACTGTTTTCCAAAAACAAAGCCTGGCCCTTTATCCCATCCATAATCTGATGCAAACTGAACCTCTGAGTCCTTCCTCAGCAAGGACCTGGAGGGGACAGAAGAGCAGCATAGCCTGCACCTGCAGCCTGTGCCACACTGGGGCACCTGGTGTCCAGACACGCACCCACACCTCTCCACCTGCCCAGGCCCAAACATGGGCACGAGCAGGGACAAAGTTCCAAACTGAGGGACACAAAACAGCTCTTCACACAGAAAAAGTCAATGCCTGCAGGATTCCTCCCTGGGGTTCCAATCAACACCTGAAATCTCAGCTTCAGGAGTCTTTATTTTGGGTGTAAAAGTGAGGGGATACCATATTTTATCTGGAAAAAAGGGTACTGGGGACAGTGACAGCCCTCGAGTTGAGGGCACTGGAGAGCTATGCATGCACCCTGCCAGCCTACCCCTCACCTTAGTCTGTCCAGCAGGGTTCTTGGGGTTTAGTTTACACTCACCCACTTTGTATCTTGTGGGGTCTGGGCTTCCCATATCTGCTGCTAAGCAGCCACCATTACAGACCTAAAGGGTGCTCTGTGGTGGCACTAGCAGCACTGACGGGGCAGGCTGCAGGGCCTAGTTCAGGCAGAGCTCCAGAGCTTGCTTTGGCCATCAGGAAGGAGACCTGTCCACCTCACAAACCAAAGCAGGCCCATTCCTCAACTAAACCCCCAACAGCAGAGGCCAAAGCACAGCTCTCCTCCCGCCTCAAGGAGCATCAGACAGCAAGGCCTCCACCTTTCAGGGCTAGAGAGAGCTATGGGAGTTCCCAGTGCACTGCTGAGAGGGAGCTCAGCTCATTTCCAGCCCATTATTGGAAAGTTCTGCACGGAGAACCTGCCAGTCAAAGCCCCTGCATGCTGAGCCACCTGCAAGCGTCAGCACCCACACTGATGGAGGGGAGTTGTCCTCCACTGGCTGGTAGGTGGAGAAAGGGGCTATGAGTCAGGCAGCGGATCTCTCCTGGCTGGAGACTGTAGAGGGGCAACTCCAGGTGCCCTCTCTGCTCTTCTGATTCGGGGCAGAAGCGGAGCTGGCACTGGGGGAGACGAGCTGCGGAGGCTGCAGGATTCCCACTCAGCAGCAGCAGCTTGGTCCCGTCTCCTTCCTCGTTCTTGTGTGCTGCCTTAATTACATGGACTCACACCCATAGACTAACATGAGATTCACACACAAAGCGGGTGGGACCAGTGCTGTCCTGTAGGGGGCAGTGGTGCTCTTTCTCTCACACAAGCACACTTGACTCACTGTGTGTAAAGACCTCTACGTAACAACACAAAGGAGTATACCAAGAAAACCAACAAATAGCAGAGTCTACAGAAAGGAGGCCGGAGCCTTCTTTCTTTGAGTGTTTCACACCTTCTTCTTGGCCAGTAAGGGTATATCTACACTGCAATTAGACACCTGCAGCTAGCCCATGCAGCTGACTCAAGCTCATGTGGCTCAGGCTTGCAGGGCTGTTTAATTGCGGGGTAGACATCTGGGCTCAGCCTGGAGCTCAGGCTCTAGGACCATGTGAGGCGGGAAGACCCCAGAGCTTGGGCTGCAGCCCGAGCCTGGAACACTACACCGAGTCAGCCGGCAGAGGCCAGCTGCGGGTGTCTAATTGCAGGGTAGACATCCCCTAAGTCACAGCGTGCTGGTTCCTCATGCTCTGGTGCACGGCAATAAGTAAGACTAAGGGCCTCTGACTGATGCTCACCCATCAACCCTGAATCCCTCGCTCCCTCTGAAGCACACAGCACATTGTACAGTGCAGTGATCTCCTGGCGCGACAGCCATGTCACAGGCAACAATAGAATTATCGTCCAGACACGGCTGACTATGTTCCAAATATAACTGAAATCAAACCTTCCGTGATCTGCTGTCTGCTTAGCAGCTCGCTATTGTGGGAGCTCGGCAGTGCCTCACCAGGGTCAGGCAGCCAGCCCATTGTGAAGCCATGGGCGAAAAGCTGAACAAACAGAGGAGGGCAGCATGGTGGCAGCATGCCTGCTGGGATGCGCCTGGCTTTCTTGTTGCCCAGAATGAACAGGGCACCAGGAGGTCTGGGTTGCTGCACCATTACCGGTGTGCTTGCTGCTGCCAGGGCCTGAAATGCAAATGTTCCCTGGTGCACCAAGAGCTCCTAGCCACAGAGCTAGGATAACAACCACCACCAGAGGCACAGCTCTGGATAGGTGGCATTTTGGACAGAGGGGACTCAGAGAAGGGCAGTGGGGGAAGGAAGGTCCCTCTTTAACAAAGGACAGATCGGAGGGACTCCCTGAAGCCCAGATGAGAACAGCTCCTGCATTCTACCTTGGAACTGGAATATCTTTATGCAAGTGACTACAGTGGAGCCCGTGGGTGGGGACTATTTACCACATCCTGGACAAATCACCAGAGAAGAGCTAGGCAGGAATCTGTTAAACTGGAGTCCAGGTTGCAAATATCAGTTGATTGCACACGGTATGGTCTAGATGCCAAGGGGCAGAAGTGGGAGCAGCTGTGGGGGCTTAAGTGACAACCACCAGCTGGAATTGAACCTGGGACTCCCAGAGCTTACAATCTGAATCACTGCAGTGTGAGCTTGAGCCAAGGAGCCAGCCCCCCTAGGGAAAAGCTGCAACAGACTCACATCCTCTATGAACGTGACACGTAACACACTGACCAGTGGCAAGTATCAGAGGGGTAGCCGTGTTAGTCTGTATCCACAAGGAGTCTGGTGGCACCTTAAAAACTAACAGATTTATTTGGACATAAGAAGAAGAAGTGTGTATTTTACCCACAAAAGCTTATGCCCAAATAAATCTGTTCGTCTTTAAGGTGCCACCGGACTCCTCACTGACCAGTGGGTTTCACTCCCACATTAGAAGGGCTGCACAGCCTTCTGAAAGGTTGGCAATGCTCTGAGTGGCTCATTCCAACATCTCTGAGCCCTCGCTGCCCTGCGCCCAGAGAAACCAGGTGTGCAGAGACAGCCCACAGTAGCCTGACTGCATGCAGGCAGCCCCTTGCCTTGAAGCATGCGGTGTACACTTGGAGCTACAAGGCCATGCACAGTGCCTGATCATTTGCTGGATGTAACAGGAGCCGGGGTTACTGTGGGGACAAAACATCACACTCAGGTCAGTGTTGGCTCTCATGGGCCAGAGTCCCTTGACCCAATTGGATGGCCAATAACTGGAGCCTTAGTGGGTTGCTTCCATTAGGACGGGAAATTGAAATGGAGGCAGGCATTTCTTTGGTGCAATCCTGTGTATTGACAAACAATGGTCACAGAGTCCTGTCTCCCTGTGCACAGCAGCAAGACGTGTCCTTGCTCACCATTCCATGCCTACCTTTCCAGCCAGCACTCT